AGCCTGAAATACTTAAGAAAGCTAGAACCTTAAAAACAAAACTTGAAGGAACGTGCCAAACTATATTTTCAGGGTTTTCCCTGCTATACAGCTATGTTTTACAGCACTATTTTGAAATATATGTCACAATCACTTCAATAGTGTTTTTTATAGAAATCAAAAATTTTAATAACATGAAGTCAACTAAAATACTAAATTAGATCCCTCTCATTATTCTTATGAACGGCACTGTAGGAATTCCACTTTCCAATCTACCTTCTCCAGGCTCTGTGCCACTTTAACCCCTTGTTTACAGACGTGTCTATGTAATTTCAAGGATTACAGAATGGCTCAGCCTGTAGATCAGTGTTCTCATGGGTTAAGAATGACTTTACTCCACATTATATTTTCATCTGGCTAGTCTTTGCTCTGGTATTTTTTTTTCTCTGAAGACTAATTTCTTAAAGGCAAAAGGTCAAAACCTCTCAACTATATTTGTCTTTTTCTCTTGTTTCCCCCATATGGCCTGTCACCTGCACTTAACAGAGGAGTCTTCAGAATCCAAAACATAGAATTATTGCAAAATCATCATCATTTGCTAAATGTTGGGGTCCTCACACTTGTTATGGTGCTGCTAGTTTAAAATTACAGTTGAAATGATTAGAGTTGCTTTTGGGCCAATGCTGTCTTTGTTTTCTTCTCATTTTTCAAACGTATGAACTTCTATAATGCCGTCATAAAACAGCAACGCCTCCTAAAAATTTCCTAACATTTTCCAAATGAAAGTAATCAAGTCACAACAGTTCCCCTTTCTTAATGTCACCTTCTAAATTTTTTTCTTAGTTTTAAAAATTGAAGTTATATTTCTTAATGACATTAGAAAAATACTTCCTGATATCTTCATCTAAATCAATACAGAGAAACAGAACACACTAATGTCAAAACCATGCAGCATAAGTGATCCTTAGAAGTACATACGGTAACCACATAAAAGAAAGAAATTCTCTGGACATTTCTGCAAACCACCCCAAACTGGTGCACATTTTAGAACTCTGTAACTATACACAAAGATGTCATCATGCGTTATCAAATAAATGACACTTTTCACTAGCTGCTAAGGACATATTTACATAATAAACTTTAATGGAGCCAAAGAAATACATGAATAGTTTGTAAACTAAAAATCCTTAAATAGAGGACATTATGTGCCTTTAAAACCTCCTACATACATTAGGGAAATTATAATGGGTCTTAAAATGAATGAAACGCAAAATCAAAATGTTTTAAGAAGTTAATTTGCTTGTCATTCCATAAATGTATTATGAAAATTTAGTGTCTCTAAAACCTAAAAGGGGCACTGGCACAAGGACAGCAAGATATATAGATGAACAGAACCATGTGGTAGGGATAAACTCAGACAACTAAACACCAACAGTATAAACATTTAAAGAAGATGACAAGGGCCGGGTGTGCTGGTGCATACTTGTAGTCCCAGCACTTGGGAGGCTGAGGCAGCAGGATCACAAATTTGAGCCCAACTGGAGAAACAGTGACTTAGACCCTATCTTGGGAGGCTGAGGCAGGAGGATCATTGTGAGTTCAAGGCCAGCCTGGGCTACAAAGTGAGCTCAAGGCCAGCCTGAACTGCATAGCAAGACTCTGTCTCAAAAAGACAAAAATAAATAAATGAAGACAACAACAAAAGGGACTTCATCAAAATTAAAAACTTTAGAGCTTCAAAGGATAGCATCAGTAAAATATAAAGAATAACTCCTAATGTTTGCAGATGAAACATATACAAAACACATGAAGAATGCTTACAACTGTGAATAATCCAATTAAAAATTCACGAAGAATATGAATGGACATTTCTCCAAAGGCACACAAGTAGCAAATAAAGACACCAAAGAAAAGATGGCTAACATCATTAGTCATTAGGAAAATGAAAGTCAAAACCACAATGTGACATGATTTATTATGCACCAGGATGGCTATCATCAAAAAGACAAAAATCAGTATTGGAGAGGATACAGAGAAACTGACATGCTCTTATACATCTTCCAAGAATGCAAAATGGTACAGTCACTCTGGAAAACAGTTAAACAGTACTGCCAAGCATTAAACACAGTTACTACATGACCCAAAAATTCTACACGCAGGATAAATGAAAACAGTCACAAAAAGTTGTATACAAATATTCATATAGCAGCATTATTTATAAATACCAAAAAAAAAAACCAGAAAGAGCACAACTCCCCATCAACTGATAAAGATCAATAAAATATATTTTCATACAATAGAATATTTGAACATACAAAGGACTCACATACTGACATATACTGTACCAAACACGCATGCACCTAGAAAATTAATGAAAGAAGCCATACAGAAAAGCCACATATTACATGATTCCATTTATATGAAATATCCAAGATTTATAAGAAATAACCAAACACAGGCAAAACTATCAAGAAAATATGTTACCTATTGGCTAGGGATGGAAAGAGGGAAGGAAAGTGATTAGTGACAGCTAAGTGGTATCAGGTTTCTTTTTGCGGATATGAAAATGTTTTAAAATTAATTGATGACTGCGCAGCACTATAAATTTACTATAAACCACTGACTGTAACAGTTCAAATAGGGGCACTTTATGGCATACAAATTATATATTAGTAAAGCCATTAAAAATCTAAAAGAAAAGTGACAGTATCTACACACTTGTGCAATCACACAATTCTTCCCTTCACACGATCACACATGCTCTTCTATCAAGTCCAGCGTACTAATTCTGGTATAAAAGATATTTAGTCCTGCAGGGTATTTTTTTTTTTCATTTAAATTTCTTAAATCTAGAAATTCTACTTTAATAGTATCACTTTTTTATTCAATTTTTCATCAGATGATCTGAATTGTTTTTATTTAGTCTCATTTTGTATATACACAAACGTATTTTGCACTTGGAAAGAAATGTCTTCAAACATTATTTCTGGAGAACTGCATAGGCAAAAAAGAGTAATCAAAATTCTCTTAAAGACTGAACACAGAACCACCTGTCTATTAGTGGTAACTGAAGAGACAAACCAAGCCCTTTATGTTCTCTTAGGATCAGCATTTGGTGACTATTATTTATTTCATTGCCTATTTGGCTTTCCCTAAATTCCGAATTTATCAACAGTCAGATGCTAGATTATACTGTGGTTATGTGAAGCTCATGAAGTCCTTCAAGCAGGTCTAACCCGAGCTGTGACATGTACAATGTTCTTCTTATAGGTATCTATAAATGATGTGAAATGCAAAGTAGAAGGATGACGAATATGTTACTGACAGTTAACCCAGGTATCCTGTGAGTAGACAGAACTAATGTGGCAAACTTGATGAGACTATACATATGTTCATGGTATAAAAGCCATCATTAAACTTCACAAATATACTGATTATTAAGAACACAAACCAATGAGGGACAATCTTGCCTTTATATTGAGTCCAACCAGTTGGATATCAACACATCTCAGCATGTTCTTTTACCCTAACACATTCAAGAATAGTGGCCAACTGTAAAATCTCTGATACTGGAAATGGAACTCAAAACTGCATCACACACTGGGAAATATTTAAAACAAAGTGATTTATCAATATTTTAAGTAGAGGGTGGATTATTAGTAAGAAGTCAGCAGACATCCTTGAAGTGGATCTTCTAGCCCTAGTCAAGCCTTCTGATAACCACAGCCTTAGTCAATATCTTGACTGCACTCAAGCCAAAGACCCTCAGCCAAGACCTAAGCACAAAGCCATCCTTCATTGTGCGAGCTGAGGTAATGCTTGCCGTTTCAAATCATTAAAAAAAAGGCAACAACTTATCAAATCTTTATCCTCCCTAAGTTTTCAATGAAAATGCATGAGCTTATATCACAGTTAAGTGAATTTGTGCTACACTGAACACAAAATTTCCTAGCCCCAAAAGTATTTGCTAAGGAAACAGAAGAGGAATTTAAAAGCTACTCTTTCCCAAAGTTGACAAAGACAAAGGTATTCTTGCAGGAGTCGATCAGCTGTAAATCCAAGAGACAAAGTTCGTGATTCCCACCAACTAGTACCCTGGACGTTCTGACAGGAGGCAAATGAGACTGCGTTAACAATGGGCCCCAAGGAAGGAGGGAAGGCACTAACTCTCAAGCAAAAATCAGCTCTGGTGCAAGCTTGGCTTTGTGCTATGGAATGGAATCAGGAACCCCAGACCTGCAAAAACCATGACAATGACTCAGGAGTGACCAGTGTGCTTTCCTGTCCCCTCTCCCTATGAACTACCAGACTATGGGGAAATGACAGTTAATTATCAGAAAATATTCAAATCAACTTTAGCAGGAGAGCCTCAAAGCTTTATATTACTATAAAAATAATAACAGACTATTGGCTCAAAATGGAACATGGAACAATATTTACAATTCCAGGATGGTGGTGGTGATAGTGTTTTGTTACAAAAACATATTTAAAAATAAATCTCTCGTTACTAAAAATAGGAAAATGTTTACTTACACCATCAGCAGATTCTTTCATTTGAGAATTTACTACCTAAAGACAAGGATGTTCATGTACAGAAGAAAGGTTTCACTCTGTTTTTTTTAAAATGTTCACTGAGATAATAAAATGCGCCAGGAACATATCAATAAAGACTAGCCAAAACTGCCCTAAATTTTATCAAAATTTGCAAGAGCTATTCTACAAAGGAAAAAAGAAAGTTACTAACTCCTTTTTGTTATTTTTAAATGCTGTCTCTTATTTCTGTGGAATGGACAAAATTTCAAATCTCCAAGCAAGATCTTTTTCTTGTCATATACCTACTTCAAAGGAAGGTAGAAAGAAACACAGGCCTCAACTTCCCCATGAGATGACAGTTGTATAATTTGATTAATTTTTCTTTCTCAAAATTTCTCCTAAAGAATAATATTCAGACATTAAAAACACTGAGGATAAATACAGCGCCAATGGAACACCCAATACATCATAGTGGAACACACGTTTACCTTCTTCCCTCCAGTCACAAACTGCTTACAACTGGATCTCACAAAGTGTGGGTGCACAGCAACGATCTACGAGAGAAGAAGAACCCAGCCCTGGTTTAAGAGTCACAGTTAACAGAGTAAAAACTATTTTTTTTTTTTGTTTGTTTTTGTTTTTCTCCGGTACCGGGAACCGAACTCACGACCTTGCGCTTGCCAGGCAGGCACTTTTGCCGCTGAGCTAAATCCCCAGCCCCGTAAAAACTATTTATACATTACAAACAGCAAAAAAACTATCCTGCTAAGTTGGCAGGAAGTAATGTATGCAAGTAAAATTCTACAACTGAGGACATCTAAGCCTTGCTCTCGTGTGAGAAGTTGTGCTCCTGAAGCCAGCCAGGTCAAAGCTCCAAGGCTACAGAGATCCCTTCTGGTTCCTGGCTAAGAGAAGACTCCTCTGAGTACACACTCCTCTACCAAGGCAGCAGAGGAGGTTGCTCAAGACAGCAGATACCACAACTATCTGTAACCAAGGACTGATTATATCCTTGTCTAACAGCAGTGGCAGATGGCATTAAAGGGAAGAGATGAGGCAATGCAGCCCACAGACTATCTGTGGTTACACCAAGACCTCTCAGCAGGACGCAGAGGCATTGGGCTGAGAACCCTGCCCTGGGATGACCATTCAGGACTCTCCCTTCTCCCCACAACCTGAGTTCCTGCCCTCACAGTCCCATCTGATCTCACTCAGGCTCCCGTGGCCCCTTATACGCAGCTCTGTCCCAAGGCTGCTCCACTATTCTTGAGATGCCGGTGGCTTTCAACACCACGTGGTCAGTGGTGGCACTGAGTGGGGACAAAGGCAGCAGTGAGGTTCTAGTGTCTCCAATCAGCACAGTTCTACATTGGAGCCTTATCTGTCAGAGCCATAACCTGCACATATCCTGCTTTCTTACCTTTTAATCTCCAAACTAGCCATAAAATCAGCATTAAAATTACTGAATTTTGGGTTTTCCTAACCTTCAATTAAACACATTTAATGTTCTTACTAATTAGACTAATACACTTTTCTCCTCCAATGGATAGCTGACAGTTTTCTTACACTGCCATTTGTAGGGGTGAGCATGAGACCCTTTATTCTTCTAACTACTCGTAGCTCTCGGGGTGGCTGAAACTTAAAGTCTTTCTTAACCCATCTTAAATATCAATACAAACACCTTTAGATGCCTTAACATGTCTCAGAATGGTCCTTCTAGCCAGGTATGGTGGTACACGCCCATAATCCCAGCTACTAGGGAATGGTTAGGCAGAAGGGTGGCACTTCTACACCAGCCTGGGCAACTTAGTGAGAACCTGTCTCAAAATAGCCGAGTGTGGTGGCACATGCCTGTGATCCCAGCACTCCAGAGGCTGAGGCAGGAGGATGGTCATGCATCTGAGGCGAGCCTGGGCTACAGAAATAAGTTCAAGGCCAGCCTGCACTATGTACAGAGACCCTGTCTCCAAAAACAATTTAAAAAGTAAAAAAAAAAAAAGAGTTACGGGATGTAGCTCATTGATAGAGCACTTGCCTAACGTACTCCAGGCACGGAGTTCAATCTCCAGTACCACCAAAACAAAATAGAGTCCTTCTAGCTTCCTTACAGAACATAACAGGTATCTCTGCTCCGTAAAAATACCTTCAGATAATCAGAGCAGAAAACCATCACGCAACTGCCACCGACTGCTCCCCGCTCCCTGCCAACTCGGCAGTGTCTGCCGGGCAGAGAGCTGGGGCTCTTCTCCTCCCTGGCTGCTCACCCGACTGCCTAGTGCTGCTCCAGGAAGCAACCCCTGCTCCTACTTTCATCTTTCCATCCACTGATTTTTACATCAACTGAAACATGACATCCACAATCTTCCCCGGATGCTGGCCCTGCAATTTCCCAGATCCATACCTTTATTTCCAAAGTCCTTGCAAGCGAAGTCTTTACTGGGTGTTTTGACCCCCTTGCTTCCGATTTACTGTGAAAGCTGTCCTGACTCTGCCTGTCAGGAACTTTACTATGACCAAAACAAGACCAAACCAAACCAAAACAAAAAGACATCCCTCACGCAGTCTTCCCGCCAGTTATTCTCCAAGCTGCCTGTGACACTGCAGCCCTCGTCTTCCCTCTGGAAATCCTCTCCTGTGGCATCTGTGGCACCGCTCTTCTGGATTTCCTTCTAACTGCTACTTTTCAGGCCACTCCTTTGCTGCTTGTCCTCCACTGCCAGGGTCTTTAGAGTATGCCAGTCTTTCACCCTCAGTCCTCTGTTCTCATTCTATGACTTTAAATTGCATAATTCCTTTAAAAATGGCTTCATCTTACTCAACTCTAGATACCTATCCTGCATTTAATCTCCATCCTGAGGTTAACGTTCCTGCCTTCAAAACCCTGTCACATCTCCTCCTGATGTCCTACAATTAAATACAAGACCAAGCCAGCATCATGCTAACTCAAACCATCCCTTATTGCAACTGATGGCCCCTCACAGCCTCCCCAGAGCAGGACCTAGACTTAGTCTCAGCTCTCCTACCTCTGACCACTCTCCTCCCGGCATTACTGAGGGCAGAAAGTGTACTTCCTAAAGGATGTCTAAATTCACCACTTCAGCTCTATCTTGAATACTCACAATTGCTCTTTTCTGTAAGTCCCTGCTGTCATGCCCAGAGTACTGCATAAGCCTTCTAAATTGTCGCTTGTTCCCAACCACTCTCCGACTCAAATCACCCTCCATTCTGGCAAATTCAGCTTTCTAAAACACATGTCAGATCTTATCTCTCCTGTACCTATTGGTCAATAAGGTTTAAATAAACAAGTGGAAAAAATGAATGACCTCGTCCTCTAACAAGTACAATAGATACCTTCCCACAACTGTTATCGGAAATTGGTCTTCCTGACTCTTGTCCATCAGACCTGCAATCTATACTATATACAGTCACTGTGCTAATTTTCCCCATGCACGGCAGCTCAGTTTGTGTCACTCCTTTGTTCTTATACACTCAATAATTTTTCCTTATCAGATGGGCTCCAAATTACTGAGCCTGAATATAGAGCCAGCTCCAACCTGCCTGTGTAGCTCTCTTACCAAAGAAGTCTTCGATGTACCACCTAAGTTAGACGATTTGCCACTTCCTGAACAGTTTGAAATTTCCAGGTTCTCTGTTTCTATTATGTTGTTTTTCCACATGGAAAGCCAGCTTCTCCACGTGCCTATGCACTGACTCAGGCCCCGTCAAACGGCACTCTGCGCATGAAGCCATCACTAAAAGGAACAGCTCAAAGTACTTCCTTTCAGTTTTGAGTCTTTTATATAGTTTTTACCTGAGTCTTTAATCACTGTGTGTGTGTGTGTGTGTGTGTGTGTGTGTGTGTGTGTGCGCGTACATGTGTGGGTGTAATTTCATCCACTATTATAAACGCTCCCTGACGACAAACTAAAGTCTCAGTTCTGTAATAAACATGCCCTCCTTTGTGGCATCCAAATGGTACCAGTGCCTCCTAAGAGCTGAACAGATATTTACTGACAATGTTAATGCTGTAGTCTTTACTGCCTTAATTAAAAAAAAAAAAAAGCACAGAAAAATTCTTACTTTAATGGGACAGTCGAAAGTCTCATGAAATTCTTCTCCAGAATACAGTCCAAACACCTGCACCTAAAAAAGTAAACAGATCATATTAGTTCACCATGCTAGGGACAGAAAAGTTTACCGAGTCAGTGAGAAGAAACTTCCAAGGGTGAAATGAAAGTAGAACACTGAATGACCCAAGGCGCTATGGCCACTATTAAATACCCTGTGAAAACAAGGCCGTCAAGGGCACCCACTGCAGTTAAGCTTGCATAAGCACCCCCTGGACATAATTCCCTTCACTCACCACACATCTGTTTTATTAAACGGAAGCCAACATTCAAAAATGGACTAGATATGAACAGGCTATTAATATTCTTTTATTAACTTCCCATGGACTGTCCCTAAAGGAACTATTTTTTCATCCCTTAAGGAAAAGAGTTTCTTTCTTGAAGTCAAATATACATACATCTGCCACACAGATCAATGTGGTGAGAAATTAGGTGAAATAAACCTCATTTACAATCTTAGGCTGAATCTACTGCGAGTATGTAAGTGAAAAATTTAAGTTCCTACCCATCAGTGGTTACCTTAAGTAGTTTTAGGCTACTTTATTGGTATTTGTAATTTTCTGAGTTCTTTAATTAACAAGACAATAAAAACTGAGGTATAATACACTTTAAAGGATACAAATCATAAATTTGCAGCTTGACGCACTTTTAATGGCCTAAACTTAAAACCATCGAACAATCAAGAAATAAAACCCAAGGAGCCCTTCTGTGCTCACTCCCAGTCAACGACACCCTCCGACTAAACAGGGTCCTAGAATCCATCACCATGTGTTACATCATCCTGGCATCTGCATTTCATAGGGGTGGAATTATAGATACTGGGAACCACTTCCCAACACATGGGATATGCTCATACTTCTGCTAGTCTCAAAGATAATGTTACTACTTCTTTAACTTTTAAAAGCTTTTTATCAGTCCATGTTTCCAGCACATAGTGACAGCATACCTTGTGACAACTTCATACATGAGTGTAACATAGCTTCATTCTTTTTTTTTTTCTTCCTTTCATCTCCCTTTCCCTACCTCTCCTTCCACCTTTTGGTCCCTTTCCCATTTAGAAAAGACCTATCTCCTGATTTACTATTATCTACTGCTAATGCTGCTCTCTATTTATAGTATGGGTTTCTCATATAAGGGAAGACATGCAATACTTAAGTTTGTGTGTTTGATTTATTGCATTTAACATTCTGATCTCAGGATGCATCTATTTCCCTGCAAAAATTTATCTTCTTTAAGGCAGAGTAGTACTCCACTATGTGTATAAATACCATATTTTCTTAATCCATTCATCTGTTGATGGACATAGAGGCTTCAAGATGTAGCTATTGTGAATTGTGCTGCTATAAACATAGATATGCATGTATCCCTATAATATGGTGTCTTTAACCATCTAGAAGGGGAATAGCTGAGCTGAATGAAATTTCTAGTTTATTTCAGTTGTTTGAGGAATCTCTACTAATTTCCATAGTGGCTGTACTAGTTCACATTCCCACTAACAAAGTAGGATTCCTTTTTCCTCACAGCCTCACCAGCATTTGATATTATTTGACTTCTTGATGATGAACATTCTTTCTATACTAAGATGGAGTCTCAGAGTTGTTTTCAATTTGCATTTCTTGAGTGACCAGTGATGTTTAGCATTTTTTCATGTATTTATGGACCATTTGTACTTCTTCTGTGAAGTATTTATTCATATCAGTTGCTTTATTTTGGTGGGTCTAATATTTTGAGTTCTTTATATATTCTAGATACTAGTCCTCTGTCCAAAGAACAGCTAGCAAACATGTTTTCCCATTCTATAGGTTGTCTCTTCACTGTTGACTGTTTCTCTTGCTGTGCAGAAGTTTTTAATTTAACATGATTCATTTGTTGATTCTTAGTGCTATCTCTTATGTAACTGGTGCTGTGCTCAAAAAGTTCTTACCTACATCTATGTCTTCGAGAATTTCACCTATTTTATCTTACAGAAGATTAAATATTTCTGCTTGAATATTTAGAACTTTAACCCATTTCCATTTTAGTTTACCATATGGTGAGATATACGGGTCTAGATTCAATCTTCTGCATGTGGATAGCCAGTGTTCCCAACATCATTTATTAAACAAGCTATCTTTCATCCAGTGTAGGCTTTTGGCCCCTTTGTCAACGATCAGACAGTTGAATGTGCCTGTGGCTGCTTCTGCACTGTCCATTCTGTTCCACTGATCCACGTCTTTCCCCCCTGCCCAATACAATGCTGTTGTTATCACTGTAGTTTTGTACCATAGCTTAAAAGTCCAAAATTGTTATGCCTCCCACTTTGCTCTTGTTACACAATATTTATTTTGTTATTCTGGGTCTCTTCCGGTTCCATCTGAATTTTAGGATTGTTTTCTCTAGTTCACTAAAGAATGTTGTTGGTATTTTGATTGGGATTGCACTTAATCTATATATCAGTTTTGGAAGTAAGGCCATTTTGACTTTATTGGTTTTGCCTATCCAGTAACAAAGGGTATCTTTCCATTTTCTGATGTCCTTTGATTTCCTTTTTCAGAGTACAGTAGTTTTCATTGTACAGGCATTTCACTTCCTTGGTTAGGTTAATTCTAAGTATTTAATTTTTCTTGATGCCACTATGAATAATAGTGTTTCCTAATTTCTTTCTCTTTGAGATCATCACTGGTATACAGTACAGCTGCATATCAATAGTGGTGCACAGCTACTGATTTTTATGTGTTGATTCTGTATCATGTCACACTACTGAATTTGGTTATTTTAGGAATCTTTTGGTGAAATTTTTGGGGTCTTTATATAGAAGATCATGTCATCTGCAAAGGATGATAATCTGACCTCTTTATATATATATATATATATATATATATATATATATATCCCTTTTACTTTTTTCTCTTGTCTATTTTCCCTTGTTAATATTTTGAGCATGAAACCAAACAGGAGTGGTGATAGTGGACATCCTTGTCTAATTCCTTCTTTAAATTTTATAGAAGTTCATCTAGTGGGCTTTGCTATGCTCTAAATGCCTGTGTCTCCCCAAATTCCTATGTCGAAACCTAACCCCCAAGGTAACAGTATTAAGAGGCAGGGCCCTTGGGAAGGATTTGTCCTGGTGTAAAGGATACTGGTGCCTTGTGAAAGAGATCAGAGAATGAGCCTTCCACCAATGTAAGGACACAACATCTGTCCTCTGCCACTGTGGAGCCGGAAAAGGGTCCTCACCGGACACTGAATGCCAGTGCCTTCATCCTGGCCTTCCCAGCCTCCAGAACTACCAGAAATAAACTTTTGTTGTTTAACAGTTTGTTAGAGCAGCACAAACAAGCTAAGTGAGATTTTTTTCCCATGAGGTTTTAAGTTACAAATTCAGTTTACTACCCAGATACAGGACTATCCTCACTTTCCTCTTGTCAGTATCAGTAAGTTCTGAATGGTCCTTTCTTTCAAAGCCCAAGCAGAAAATGAATTCACATTATGATTATTAGAGACCTTCATGAATTAAAAGATAAAATCTTCAGGATGCGCCACTCATTTTGCAACCACCCAAGTGTGTCCCTTGGGTTCCACAAACAGAGGACATAATACAGAGGGAATCTGATTTATCCTGAGGTTGCATCGAGGAGTGTATTCTGGATGTGGCTTCAACACTATCTTGAGTCTCACTGTGCAGAGTGTGTAGAACACCATGACTCTTACATTTAGGTAGAAACACAGGGCATACTGCACTTCCTATAAGGGGGGCTTAAGAAGCAGGAAGGGAAGCACTGCACCATGAGGCAAGTTTAACATGATAGCTCCCAACAAATCTAAGAAAAGTGGGTGAAGGCTAAGGAGTTCCTATATCATCTGAATCTTAATGGAAGGAATCAACAACCCACCCCTGCTGAACTAGCACAGCAAAACTCCTCAAACACGATTGACTCTTCCTCAGTACAAAATGACAGTGTCACAACATGGTCTTGGTCAAATGTTAGACTACGGCTAACTTACCTCTCACAATGCCCACCCTGTGCTTTACCTCTGTGGATTTTAAACCTGATTATACATTGAAACTGCTGGTTAATAATGACTGGACCTCCCCTCCCAAAAATTAAACTGAACTTTCTAGTGGCAGGAAGTGATATTGTTAATGGTCCACAACAGACAATATGGAGGCAGGGCTGAAGAACCTGCCCTGCTTCATTTGGTCCTCACTGCGACACTGCTGAGTACGAGAGTGAACACCACTGATTCTGCACCAGAGTGAAGCGGCTCGCCTACGGTGATACAAATCTTAAGTACGATAGCTGGGACCAGAACCCAAGTGCTCCAGTGTCCATTCTTCTACATGACAGAAGTCACTTCCATGCGATATCTTTATACACGATGGCCTAAAATTTGCAAATAAGAAAGGTATCTTTTCACAGAAAGTGTAAGAGTAGAATAGAACAACAAAAACACAACAATAAATCCACAATATTCAAAAGCCAAACTACAGGGAAAGTTGTTCATGTCTAAATTTGAGTGAAGGCAACTGTGCAACAGAAGTCAAAAATGAAACAGATGACTCCCTTAAATGGATGAACTTCCTTCTGCTAATAGATAGGGTCTAGGTGATTGTCAGAGTGTGGAGAAGAATATGGGATGCAAACAAAAGATCCAAGAGCACCTGAAGACCGCTATCACATCAGCACATGAGCAAGAAGTACCAGGGTAGCTCTAACGTGAAAATTAAAGTCTGAACTGCTCAGGATAAATGTCTCTTTAAAAATTATGAGTCTCTATGAAAGATGCAATAGAACAGGGGTAAAGAGTAGTCAGCAGAAAAGGGAACAAGACCTAGGAAGTTCTTGGTAAACAGGTGTTAATGCTCATTATTGGTATAATTCTATTCCTAACCATGAAACCATACTGCTTGATACTGTAAGGCATATAAAAAGTTACAAAAATGAAACTGTTTGGGGGTAACATTACAATAGGACTGGAAGAAATAGTTTTTGGGAAATTAAAAATGTAAAAATGGGATAAAAACCTACTTCATCAAGGAGTAAGGAATAAAACTGACTTTAGCACAAAAGCAAATCAAGAAAGGGAATAAACAGGTAGAAACTGTCCGTAACTATGAAGAAATAAAGGGATACATATGACAAAACAGCGAGATCTTTTGCAAAAGTAAAGGGGACCAAGACATGGAAGGAGGGGGGAGTGGATGAAAAAGAACTACAATGTGTTACACACTCACTCCCCATGAGGAAAAGAATCATTCAGTACTATAAACAGGCAGTAATGAGATAAAATCAAATAAATAAAAGATGAGTCAAGGAAAAAAAATGAGAGCAAAGGGCTGGGGATTTAGCTCAGTGGCACAGCACCTGCCTGGCAAGCGCAAGGTTGTGAGTTCGATTCCCCAGTACCGGGAAAAAGAAAAAAGAAAAAAAAATATGAGAGCAAAGCATGTATGGGGAAGGTCTCATATAATTTAACTAGTTCTACTGGAAGTCTATGTATTTTCAAGAGAAGGGAAAATACCGTGTATCCCTCCACTCTTGCTCAGACATGGGTAAGTTTAGGCACAATAACGGGAGAGCGGAAGGGGACAGGCTACAGTGGGCTAGGAAATAAGTGGCCTGCAAACAGGAAGTTAAGACATAACTGAGTGCACCCTCACACTCCTACGCAGGCCCCCACCATGTGCCCACTGCCTGGCTGAGGGGAGGGAGGGCTGGGGAGGCCAGGCCCACGCCCACCTTAGGGCAGAGGGTGTGAGTGGGTGCAGCCCCAGGAGGGGCAACACAGCTACGCTCTAGGCTAAGCAAGCCTGCCTCCAGCCTTGTTTTATTGAATTTCTTTGAAGAAATGAAAACAAATGGAACCAAAGTAATAATCAAAATTATAACTGAAGTTATAATTTTCATTCCTGAAATGAAAAAGAACAGTTCAGTATATGGATCAAAAGGACTTACTGTGTTCAAACTGAATTACAAGGACCAGTTACTGTTGCTGTTTTCATTATTATTATTAGTCCAAGCTCCAAGCAGGGATTAAAAAAACAAAGGTTATATTAAAAAAAAAAGACTGGCATCAGGCATGCCTACAAAGCATTACAGGAAAGACAACAACATCTTCAAAATTTTGAGAAAAACATTTCAACCCAGAATTTCATACTAGACTCTAGTTGCTATATGAAAGCAAGAGATGAGAAAATACACGTTGTTTGTACTTATGCTGAAAGTTACCTGTAAATACGTGACAGAAAGATCAAACAGAACATCCATGTAGATACACAAAACACATGTACAACACAATACGCACACAATTTATGCACAGCCATTTCTCAAAATGTAGATCTCATGCATAAAGAATTCATAAGAGATCAGAAATGAGCACCAGCTGAAGAGATAGAATAAACTCTAACCAACTTTTAAAATGAATGCAACTATCAAAGATCATCTCTGAAATAACGATAAACAATTATTTGCCCAGGAGGCTTAATAAACTAAAGAAACCAAAACCCACAACAGTCGTTTAAAAATGCATTAGAACAGGTTATCTGGAGTTCACCTTTGTAAAAACCTTTCTGTTTTTATATTAGTAGCCTCTAGATTACTTCATTCAGCGCCAGCTTCTCAATTTTCACAGCACTGGCTAGGCTGTGGTAAGGGCTGGCTGGCTTACATGAACATGTGTACTGTGAAGATTTATTTTCTGTTCTATTAATGCAATAAAATATACGATCTACCCATTTTTCAAAATACATCATGGATCTACATGAAAATATGGTGGTTATAAATCTTACTAAAATAGGGAAACAGCGATATTTGCCGGAAAGGGTACCATGAGCTATCTCAGGGCCATCTCATTATGCACCAGGAGATCTAGTTAAAATACTCTACTTTGATGCTTTAGCAATTATTCAACATTTAAGGCTATGAAAATTCCTAAATTGCATTAGTAAAAATTTGTTTCCACTTGAAAAAACAGTCCCTTTCAACAAATTTAAATTAAGTTGGTAACTGCCAGGAACAAATTCCTCACCTTTAAGAAAAAGGAGATTAACTTTCTTGGCAAATACATGAAAACAAAAATGTCTCATAGTGTGGATGATGCCCTTCAATTTCTGTACGAACCAACTCCTGCCTCTTCTCTCTTTGACAATTGTGCTCATCTCAGAATTTCACAAAGTACTGTAAAATTTGACAGTGCTTTCTGAAAAGCGCTAGTGTTCCAATTACTGTTTCAAAAGACTCTTTGGGCAATACCAGGCTTAGATATATAAAAAGCATTCTTGTATGTCAAAAGGACTTCATGTTGCTTTTGTTAACAGATTAATGGGTATAACATTGCCAACAGGTATGAAAGGATGTATCTCATTTATGTTGAGTATATTGTTTTTAATTTACTCATCTTAATGGGTCCACTGAATTTAAAGCACATTATAAAAAATACAAAATTAGGTTAGGAAATCTCTATTCAATAAGGAATACGTAAGCTTCTATAATGATTCTTAATGTATTCTCTTAAACTGTTATTTTAGAGAAGTAGCTTAAATACACAGTGCATTAGAATTTTATCACTGCAAACCAACATTAGAAAAGACTCCCATCGACTTAAAAACAAAAAAGACATTCTTATAAGTAGAAAATCAATCACCACAACCACTAAATGTCACAGCTCAACATCGGCAAGAAGCACTGATAATTGTTAGTTATACACTGCACCAATGATATATGTCCTCAGCTGAGGAAGTAGGTGCCAGGTTTTTAGAAAACTGTACATATATTGATTTTACATTTATTTAATGTGGCCATTGTAAGACACTTTATTCTTCTGATAAACTATGATTGCTTATCAAAAGATTCTATAATTCAAGAGAAACATTCATAACTTGTGCGTGAAAATGAAAACCACTAGCCCACAGAAATCATGCCCACGAAATCCAATTTTGTGGATTTATGGCAGAAAGACATTAAACAACTGTCTACCAGGAACTGCAGACCAGTCACCAAAGCATAAGTGGCAGAGCAGTAATGATTAAGGTGACACGTCACCCTGCCACAGCTGTTAATCAGCTTAATACTACTTACATTATTGACATTCTTGTAATTACTTTTCCTAAGGCACATTGTGCAAAATATATTTTACTTTAATTATGAGCGATCGGAACCAAGTCTAACACTCAAAAAGAATATTCAAGGTTCCCCTAATGCAGGTGTATAGTAAGTGGAGTGCACTTCGGAATACCTGGGCTCGGGTAAGACTGCAGCACTCAGGGCCAGCAGAACCTCCCCATCCCTTCTGCCATACCTTGCCGTCCTCTGAACACACGCCCATGTGCTCTCCACTTTCATCCAGGCTAATCTGATTTATCTTCACAGGACTCTATTAAAAATAAACAAGCAAAAAGCATATATAAATCCTCAGGAGAACATGTATCAACAATCAAAAGTCTTCTCTTTATAAAAAATAAGAGGTATAAGTTGTTTATTGCTTTAGCTGCATGAGTCTAAGACACATTTTGTTTTGCAAATGAAAATGGTAAAACATAGCTGTGTTCTCATACCTATTTCACATTTGAGCTAAAATGTTATTTCTTACATGTTACATACCTTTTGAACGCATTGTGCTATTTATATTCTAAATTTATCTCTTCCAACCATAATCCAATAAAATAATGCAAAACAAAAGCCAAAATAGAAGTCATTACATTAGTAACATTTTTAGTTGGTTTTTCTCCGGTACCGGGAACCGAACTCACGACCTTGCGCTTGCCAGGCAGGCGCTTTGCCGCTGAGCTAAATCCCCAGCCCCTAATAACATTTTTAGATGTTTGATTTCATTTACCAGCCAATCTATTTGTTCTTCTCTTATAAATTACTGAATCAACTTTTCACTTATACTTTATGCTTAGTACTTTCTGTGGGAAAACTACAATGCAATTGACATTAATTCTGTTATTTCTATTCTTTCAAACAATTTCAAACTTAAATATCTATAAGCATAGAAGCCTGGCTTTCTAATTTGGGGCACATTTTCCAAAGAGTAAACGTACAACTGTATTTTTAATATTTATATAGCCTTCCAGTAATCTATCACCCAACTGTTTACTTACCAGAATTTTCACACAGATACATTTCCTAATGGAGGTCAAAATGAGTGAATGTTGTCAATATTTAAAAATAGCAAGCTCTTCTTTTTTTAAATTCTTAAGTAATGACAGTTTCCAACTAGCTTACATAGAACAAACTAGGAACAAGCTAACCATGATAAGGAAGCCTATGGTAGTTACAAGAACTTGCAAATTAGGTTTTTTTTTTTTAATTATCTGGCTTTGACTTATTGGTGAGAAAGTGGAAATACACAAAATTGAGTATTTTACTTTCAACTGGAAAATATCTCAAGAATGAATTAGCAAAGGTCAGGGGAAAATAGGAGTGTGAGACCTTGGAAAGGCCACCTACTCATAGGTGCTGCTGAGACACATGCCCATGAACAGGATGAGAGAGCTGGTTACACAATCCTTTCACATCTGGATCATCGAATCACCACACAAGCCACATTCCTAGGATGCAGCCTATGATGAACAAAGCCAGCACTTCAAAAGTTCCTGGAATTTTAGAAAAGGCAAAGACCTTGAAGACAAACGTGTGGTCCACTTTGCTGGAGATTAAACTGAAGCCCAGTGCGGAGAACCATAAGTGAGACAAGAACAGAGCAAAGATTGTAATCAGACAGGAAGGGGTGAAAGTACGTCCCGCAAAGACAGAGCCCAGGCTAACCTGGGACAGCACTGGCAGAGCATTCTGACTTCCAGCCGAGAAGTCTGCACGTCGGCCTCTTCAGTCTTCTCTGGATGAATGCTATCCTCAATTAGAACATCTTATCTTATCAGTTCCTCCATTCTGATTTTCTGTTCACCATACATTTTAATGTCATTTTACTCATGGCAACGGTAAACCCCACATACTTCCGTTGTACTTTAATTGGCATCCTGTTAGAATCTGCCTAAAATTATACTTTAATAGGTGTGGAGCCTAGGTTTCCTGTCCTAGCCAATACAGCACTACTTAGATGTGGCTATTAAAACTACAGGATGAATTACTTAAAGTTAAATGAAATTAAAAATTCAGTTTGCCAGTTGGAAATAACACACATCAAGGGCTCTGGGGCTGCGATGACAGTGGCTGCTGTCATCAGGGCATCTTCCTTACCGCAGAATTCTGTTGGGCGGTGCTACTCTCTGCCTACAGAACCAAGGCACAGGGAATGCCACCAGAAGAAGTAGCCTTCTTAACTACAATTTACATCTACAAATACACTGCTTTCCCATGTACACGTCATATTTTATGTAATTTGTTCTTGGACTCCATTCCCGAAAGGTTCATGTCCTGTCCCAACAGTACCTGCAACACAAGGCATCGATCCAAAGACCTGGCATGCATATTCGCTGATCACCCCAGAACAGAGCTGAGGATGGTTATCTCCACCTCACAAGAAGGAAAATAAGGCCACAAGAGTTTCTGTGAATGGTGGAAAGCCACAGTGCTATGAAGCTGTGAAGGCACATAATGGTGTTCCAAAAGCAAATAAACCAAACGTCTTATCACAGCATGTTTCTCCCTGAACAGAAATATTTATACCACGACATCAGCAACACTACAGAGAAAAAAAAAAAATCATGCCTACTAGGTAAGAGAATCCTCTGAACCTCCCATCTCGGCTAGCAACAGAGTCTTTTTAAAGTTTTTTTTTTTTTTTTCTGCTAATGATCAATAGTCATTGATTCATTTCCCTGACTAATAGACTTAGCATTATTCTTAGGTATATTGATCAATTAATTTGCTCTTCTGTAAAATGTTTGTTCACATCTTTTGCTAATTTTTTCTACTCACTTTTTTTAAAATTTTATAGTCACTCAGACATTGTAAGTGCCGTTTCCTTTGTTTACAAGCTGGTTATTGCTATATTTATTATACTTGAGCCCTAAATCTTTTCAGGATTCATTTTATCTTCTTCTAAAAGAAAACCCAGTTGGGCTAGCCCCATGATTAAATAATCCATCCTTCTACTCCTGAAGAGAACTATGGCTACTATATAATAAATATTTATAAATTCTGAGATAACTTTCTGAGTTTTCAAGTGTGGCCTCTCTGTCCATTCTTATATCAATTCAACACTGACTTAATTATTGAGGATGTCTATAGCATGTCCTGATATCTTGTGAGTCATCTATTCCTTGGCTTTTCTCAGGAATTTATTCTTCTGTGTGAATTTTAAGGCAAAATGACCTGAACTGCAAAGGATAATGCTCATTATTCAATTCTAACTTACAGTACCCAAGCAGAGTGTACAACACTGTTAATGCGTCCTTCTCTTTGCTTCCGTGACACTGTGTGTGTTCAGTTTCTCTTTTCTAGCTGCTTTCTGTCAGGGCAGAAAACAGAAAAGCTGGGCATAGTGGCACACACCTCTAATCCCAGCACCCCGGAGGCTGAGGCAGGCAGATTAGAGTAAGTTTAAAGCCAACCTGAACTACACAGTGACACCCTCCTAAAAAATAAAAATATGCAAAAAAATGTTTTCTACCTCATTTGCCCAGGTGTACATAACCTTACAATAACAAACTCAAGGATGTTTAGAAAAAAGTACAAGCAAATATCACTTGTGAACATAAATGTCCTTGGGCAAAATCCTAAGGACACTGTAATGAAACTAACACACAGTAAAAAAGCCACATTTCTCCCACAAACACAAAAGCAGTCTAAAAATAGGAATTTTAACAGTATAATCTTCTTCATTAGCAAAAGAAAAATCATGTATCATCTCAAGAGATGCAGAAAGATTTTAATGAAACTCAACACCTATTCATGGTAAAAACTCTTAGCACATTAGGAAAAAATTTCTTCAGTCTTATAAAGGATATTTACCAGGGGTTAACAAATACATGTTACTGCACTTAATGGTAAAATGCTGAAACCTTTCCCCTTGTTTCCTTTATGATATTGATTTTTCCAATCCATAAACATGAGCTTTTCTCCATTTATTCAGGTCTTCTTCAATATCTCTGAGGAAGGTTTTATACTTTCCGCTTTCGAATTCTTACACATTTGACAGTTTCCTTAGAGTAGTCTTTACAGAAATTTGAGTTTTTAATTTAACATCAAACAAGGAATGAACTCACAAAAGAAATGGTAGGTAAGGAAGAGCCAACCTCACAAATAACAAATATGTACTTGAAAATTAGAACAGTGACATATCTTACCTATGGAATCACTTGAAATTTTTTTTTGGAACCTGGTTGGGCAAAGAAGCACTAAAATGATCTTATACCCCTAATGGCAATTTAAATGTGAAAAAAAATTCTGAAAGGCATCAAAATTCTTTAAAATATACATCATCTATTACAACTAACAAAAAGTGCTTTTTCACATCAGTTTTCTTTTGTACAACACTGAGAAATGGAAATAAATTTCTAAAAGCTAGGAATCAAAAGATAAAATTAATAAAGTTTTAAAAAATATTAGATAGTAAAATAAAATATCTGGCTTTTCCAAGAGTGGTCTGGTCTTAGCGCTTGGCTTCTGGGAAACAGTGTGTCTGCACTGATGGGAATGTCTTGATCAAAGGCAGGTAGGAGTCCTCACCCGATGTTAGGGGGCCAGCTACATCCAAAAGTCTTAGAGTAGGAACTGGCCATGCCATGTAGTTTAGGGTGGAGGCTTTAGGGTGATCTGGAAGCTGAGGTCAACCACCTGGCTAACTTGTGAAGCCATCATGCGTGTGTAGCTCATCCTTCATGAAAACCCAGGCTACAGAGGCCGAGATGAGCACTGTGGCAGGCTCAACTCCATGCCAGGAGGGTGACACACCCTCAAGGCAAGGGAAGCTTCTCTTCTGGAACCCTCCCAGGTTGGTGCCTGTGTGCTTTCTGCCTTTGACTGATTTACGATCTGTATCCTTTCCTGTTCATAAACCATGTACATGAGCATAACAGTTTTCCATGAGTTTGGTGTGTCCCCTACCTAATTAGCAAACAATGTGGGTTTGGGAATCACTGGAAAAGTGGTGGAGAACCTATGGCATTCATGCTATGGTGTTTTTTTTTTTTTTTTTAAGAGAAAAGATGTTAATGTATGAGTTGTTTTGTTTTGTTTTGTTTTGTTTTTTTCCCTAAACTAAAACCTCAGTATTCAGGTGTAATTGCAGTGTTGGAACTTTGCAAATAAATAAGTGGGTTTTGGGTTGCAGTTTGGCACCTAGTCTCTAAAAGGTTAGCCATTGCTGCCCTAGAACTTACAGTTGGTATCTCTATCTGGAGAGCTATGTTTTCAAACATCAAAGCTTGACTAACTCCAGGCTAAGTATGACCCAACTTACAAATA